GAGGAGGAGGACATCAGCACCCTCTTTCTGGAAGCACAGGACCCTTGCACCCACTTTGAGGGCACTGAGGAGCCCGGCGGCCTCGTGGCCCATCCGCCTGCTTTCTCCAGTACACGCCAGCAATCGACCCTGTACCTCTCCCGGAGCAACAGCGGCGTGAGTGGGGACCAGGGTTGAAGCCCAGGCGAAGCCCCAGGCATGCGGTGGGGCCATGGCCGTGGGGCACAGGCAATGCAGTGTCACTGAGATCTGCCACTGTTCAGGCTTACTGCTACAGTGCGCAAGCAGCGCCTGCCTGCTCCACGTTGCCGGCATGCCGGCCGTGTGGGAAGGCTGCAGGCAGCTGTTGTGCCCTTGCCTGCACGTGGCCAGTGTCATGTCCTGCTGATGGCTTTGCCGTGGGCCAGGTGCCGGGCTGGGGCAGGGGGATGCAGGATGGGTCCAGGTGTGCGCTGGGGCTGCTCCAGCCTCACATCAGCACCTCTGCTGCCTGCCCTATTCCAGGCCTGGCTCGCTGCTTGCTGCGCATTGCTGGGGGGTTGTGCTGAAAGGGACTTGGTGTCCTGGCTTCGCTCTGGCAAGGGCCAAGCTGGCCTAGATCCTGAGTGGGGATGCGGGGGAGGCTCTTGATCTCCTGCGCAAGCTCTTCCCTCCACTAAGTCCCTTAATTCCTTGGAAATCCCTTGTGCTGCGAACGGCACGCACTGGCCTTGCCAGCAGCTTGCCCAGTCTGGAGCACCCTGGCAGCCTGCAGTGACAGCGAGGAGGGAATATTTGGTGACGTTTTGACAGCCAGACTGGGAGCAGGTCAGAGACTGCTGGGCTCTCCTGGGGCAGGAGGTGCCATGGAGGGGACATCGCGCTCCCCCACCTGCTTTGGTCGCTGTGGGTGCCTGTGGCATCCTGCCAGCTATGAGCTCTTTCACAGCATGTGGCACATCTTCTCCAGGGTTCCCACTGCCTGTGGCACTGGGCAAGTGTCAGGGCTGTGGGGGGCTTGGACCCTGAGCAGCATGGTGGGGAGGGGGGTGTCTGAGCTGGTGAGGGTTTAGTTGCATGGTGCTGTCCTTGTAGATGGAGCCAGAGGTGGTGGTGGAGCAGTCTCAGGTGCCAAGGCTGGAGCCGGAGCTGCCCAATGGTATGGAGAAAGTCCAAGTGAGAGAGCTGGAGAGGAGCAAGTTGAACATCGAAGAGCTGAACAGGATCGAGGATGAGGATGTTCTGGATAAGATGGTACCCTCTCTGCTGCTGGGCTCTTGGGGGAAGCCGAGTGGACCCTGGGGTAGTGGCAGAGGGGTGATACTGTCCTCCACTTCCTCCTGCAGCTGGATCGGACAACGGACTTTGAGGAGCGACGACTGATCCGAAATGCCATGCGGGAACTGCGCCAGCGCAAGCGAGGTACTGAGGGACAGGGATGCCCTTAGAGGTTGGGGCTCTGGTGGTGGTGCCAGCAGGGTGCTGGTGCGGGGCCACCCAGCTGTGGTGAAGCAGGAGGGCACGTTGGCTCTTCTGCTGCACCCCTGGCTGTGCCAGGCTGAGGACATCATCCTTGCCATGACCTGGTTCTGGACCAGCAGCAGCCAGCAGGACCCCTGAAGTGGCATGAACCATGCCTACCACTCCTGCCTCTCTCTCCCTGCTGATACTGCCTCCCACCCACATTTGCAGACCAGCGGGAGAAGGAGCGGGATCAGCGTCTGCAGGAGATGAGGAGCCAGGCTACTGCAGGGAGGGCCGGCCATGCCACAGAGACCACCACCACCACGCAGAGCACCCAGTCAGCTGATGGCTCGGCACGCAGCACTGTCACCAAGACTGAGCGTCTCGTCCAGTCTAGTACGGGCTGGGCTGGGGTGGGGGTGCAGGGCTTGCTTGCCCAGTGCAGTGAGTGTGCCGACCCTTCAGGAGGCCGTGCAGTTTTTCCCGGTGCTCTGCCACCACAGCTTCTCTCTGCCACTCTTCGCTGCTTGTCCTGAGTCTGGCTTGACTGTGCTGGGAAAAGGACCGTGGTTCAGGGCTGAGTTTTGCTGCACCTCCTCTGGCTCGCCCAGAGCCTGCCTAAGGATCTTTATGAGAATGCACTGTAGTCTTCACTGATCCTCTGCCCCATCAGGGTGGTAGGGGCCTTCTCTGTACCTCGGACCTGTCTCCTGTTGCCTACATCTCCCAGTCCCTGGATAGCTCAAGCCAAGAGTCACTGCAGGGAGTTGAGGGAGGCTCCAGCTTCCTACTCCTTTGCGCTGGCCTCTGCTCTGCCTGGGGGGCACGTGCTGTCTGTCCTCCCTCTGCCTGCCCTGGCCGTGGCTTTGCCACCTGGAACTTTTTCCTGCTGCACTGTGTGGATGTGAGGGTGCTTGGCAGCTGTGGGTGCTCCTGCCCCCAGCCCCAGCTGATCCCCCTTTCCCTTCCCCTTGCAGGCGATGGCACCAAGACCTCCCACACCACAACCATGGAGTCAAGTTACATGAAGAGATCGGACAGTACGAGGTTTTCTTTCCTATTCCCTACCACATCCTCTTGGCATAAGCCCGGGGGTATTGCTGCTGTGGAGCCATCCCTATCTTTGTGTGGGCAGAGCTCCTCCCGCCTGGCTCAGTTTCCCTCCACTCCTGTCCAAATCCGCTGCTCTCTTTCTCTTTGCAGATGGCAACAGCACATTTGTTCAAACCAAATCATCCTACAGCTCCTCTTCCAAGAAGACAGGCAGGTGAGTGGCAGTGCCTCCCCGGGCTGGGCCCAGGCTGGCTCTATCTGCACAAACCCCGTCTTGCCCAGGTTGTGGTGTTCCCGTGCTAGGATGTCCCCAAAGCCTCCTCGTCTTGGGGCACGCTCACTGTCTCCAGCCATCCCCATGGGTCTCTCTGGGGGCATGGAGATGTCTGCCAGCTGCAGACCTTAAGTTCCCCCTCTTCTTTCCCAGGGGCATGGAGGTCTCCAAAGCTCCAGGGCTGGCAATGGGCTGAGGCCATTGTGTGCCCTTCCCCAGGCTTCTTGCAGCCCGCTTAGCTTTGTCTCTCTCTCTCCCAGCATCTTTGACCGTGAGGATGAGAGTGCCTCCAGGCAGAGCAGCTTGGCTGCGCTGGAGCGGCGCCAGGCTGAGAAGAAGAAGGAGCTGATGAAAGCTCAGAGCCTGCCCAAGACATCGGCCTCACAGGCTCGCAAGGCCATGATGGAGAAGCTGCAGAAGGAGGGTGGGAGGTGAGGCTGGGCCAGAGGCAATCTGGCTCGGGCAACAAGTGCCACGTGGATAACGTCCCCCATCTTCTGCCGCAGCTCACCAAACCCTGCAGCAGCACGCAGTGCCGTGCAGCGCTCCTCCAGCTTTGGCGTGCCCAACGCCAACAGCATCAAGCAGATGTTGCTGGACTGGTGCAGAGCCAAGACTCGGGGCTATGAGGTGAGCGCTCCCTCCTTTCCCCATCCCCGTGCCCAGTCGCTCTGCCCCTTGGTAACTCTCCTGTCCTTGCAGCACGTGGACATTCAGAACTTCTCATCTAGCTGGAGTGACGGTATGGCCTTCTGCGCCTTGGTCCACAACTTCTTCCCTGAGGCATTTGACTACAGCCAGCTGACGCCCCAGAACCGCCGCCACAACTTTGAGGTGGCCTTCTCGTCTGCAGAGTATGTAGCTGTCGTGCCATCACATGGGCTTGGAGTGGCTTGGGGCAGCTCTCTTGCTCACTGCCTGGGTGAGGGGGGACACTGGTGGGGGCGACGGCGCTGGAGGTGGGCGCCTGTCAGCATCGCTCCTGCCACGTTGTGCAACAAGATTTGGACACCAGGGCGGGGGAAAGCAGTGACTGCATGGACAGAGCCATGAGAGGCCAGTCTGATGTAGCGAGGGTGGGCGTGGGCATCTGGGCTTCCTGGATGTGGGCAGGGCAGCACCCCCCAGGCCTGCTCGGCCACAGGCAGTACATCCCATCCCGGGGTGCTAGGACTGCAGCTCCTAGGGAGCAGGGTTTGTCCATGCCAGGTGTCTCTGTTCACGGTTGTAGGGGCTCGAACACCGTTGCAGCTTTTCCAGTTTCTTCCCTTCCCCTTTTGCTTCTGGTTTTCCTGGGTGTTGAGAGATGGGAGCGCATCCAGCTGGAGGGCTGGCAGCCAGCCCCTCTCTCCTTCCTTCTGTCTCTCTCCCACCCACTTCTCCTCCCCTCCAGCACCCTGCCCAGGGGCAGGGCCGGGCGGGTGGGGTTCCCATCCCAGACAGTGCCTGGAGTGGTGGTGTGAGCTGGGTGCCGCGGTGCTGTTCAGTGGAGCGAGAAGGGGGCCGCGTGCCTGGCTCATGGTGCTCCTGGTAATGAACTTTTTGCCTTAATTGGGGAACCGGTGTGTGGACTTGAGAGAGCCATCGATCTCTCCAGCCTGGAAGCCAGGTGGCCTCTCGTCCTTCCTACTCCTCCTCCTCCAGCTCTTGTGAGCATCCTCCTGAGCTTCCTGCACCCACGGTTCCAAGCGGAGCCGGGCAGGAGGGCTGGGCTCGTCCCCCATCCTCCCGGTGGGTCTATATAGGGGCTATATAGAGCGTCACTCTGCTCTGGAACCGGCTCCTCAAGCACCTGGCGTGCCAGAACACTTCACTCCTCCTCCTCCTCTGTCCTTCCCTCTGGACCTCACGCCTCTCCACACTGCTCACCTGCCCTCCCCCTCCCTTGCTTGTGCCCTCCCAAATCTCACTGAATGGCCTTGGCACAGTGGTGTCCAGAGCCTCCTGCCCCTGCATCGCGCACCCCCAGAGCATGTGAGAGCAGAGCAGCGTCTGCCCGGGGGAGGATGGGAACTGCATTGATCCGTGTCTCTTGTTTTCTCTCTTCCTCCCCTTCCCGACTGGGCTGCGGTCACTGGCTTGCCCCTCTCTCTCCCTGCCCCCAGGAAGCACGCGGACTGTCCGCAGTTGCTGGACGTGGAGGACATGGTCCGGATGCGCGAGCCAGATTGGAAGTGTGTGTACACATACATTCAGGAATTCTATCGCTGCCTGGTCCAGAAGGGGCTGGTAAAAACCAAAAAGTCGTAGCCCAATTTCACCCCCCTGGGAGCGATGGTGAGAACCTTCTCCTCCAAATACCTGCCCGTGCCCTACCGCCGCCACTTGGGCGAGGGGCCAGGGAGCGACCGCGGAAGAGGCTGGGGGCTGCCAGTGGGTGAGGGGCGAGTAATGGTGGTGTATACCATCAGGGCCAAGCTGTGATGAGGAAAGGAGTGCAGATGGCCACTTGCCCTCTGGCCCTCCAGAACAGCACCCAAGGGAATTTGGGGGCAGGATGGGACTGTGTCACCCTGGGGGGCTGTTGGCTTTCTGGCCACACAGATGATGCTGGCAGGCATGGAGCTGCCACAGCTGAGCCCAGCTCAGGGGATGAGCTACCAGGGATGCCGCTCTGGGTGCTCTGCAACAGCACAAGCCCCAGAGGTGCTGCCTGGGTGTGGGTGACCGCCCCGGTGTGCCCCAGCATCACTGCTTGCACTTGCTACCTCCTCCCCCCCACCTCGGGGTGCACGAGGGCTGTTGGTCCTGGCCACGGGGAGCTGCAGCCGCTGCTGTGGGCCAAGGCGTAGGTGAGGGTGCCTAGCCTGCATAGTGCTCCCTGCTCATATATGGGCAAGAGTGGGGAGCCTGGAAAGTGTGAGTCAAGGCTTGAGTCCTGCCTCATCTTGCAGTGTTTGTGCCTGTCTTCAGGGGCATCCCAGCTGGCGCTGCTGCTCCCCTCAGGCTCTGCGCAGCCTCAGTGCACCGGGGCCTAAACAATGGCTTTATAAGGGCAGAGCCACTCTCCTGCTGCTGCCGTGGCTTTGCCATCACCCCCTGAGCCAGGACTGGTGGTGGTAGGGGGCCTCCAGAGCTCAGGCGGAGGCTTTCCCAGGGCCTGGAGCATGATCTCACCCACTCTAGAGTGGCTGATGTGTGAAGTGGGGCTGGTGCTGGCCAGGCCTTGGGCTCAGAGCCCATCTCCAGCACAACAGTGGCCCCGTGGGAGAGCTGGGACAGTGGGGCGCAGGGTCCTAGCGCAACCCTGTGCTGGGTGCCTCTCCTTGGCACTGCCGCTCCCAAAGGGGCTGGCATCAGTGGGGGGGTCTCTCTTCTGCTGTACTAGTCCAGGGGAGGCAGGGTGGAGTGTGCTGGGGTGCAGAGGTGTGCAGTGGGGTTACTGCATCCTCGG